TGGGGCAGGCCCCCCTGGAACCCCCCGATTGGTCCAAAGCATGTCTATCTCGGTTAAAAACAATCAAATATTTCAAAAACCATTAATTTGCGACGGGTGTCCCTGTTGACAAGCTGTTAATGAATAGATCTAGGCTACCGGTCTGAGATTCTTCATTGAGAGAGATTAAAAACTGGGGAAAATCATGAATTCCTTAGGTTGTGGAGACATAGGCCAAAGTAGATCTAGATCTAGTCCTAATCTGCTGGTCCTGTATTCTTCTATCTTACTGTTGACTTTGCCCAGCTCTATGAATCGGACTCGAGTCCCAATATATTCGGCAGGTGCTATTTGCAACGCCGCGTTCTGAATAACTCCCTTGCTATTTGAAACGCTAGTACTAGATCTAGATCTATTTATCTAGTAGCCATTGTTTCTACATAATAATACTATTGTAGTTCTTCCTGAATTGTGGATCATCCGGTCACAATTGACGCAGTGTCAGTTCCGACCGGATCATCCGGTCACAATTGACGCAGTGTCAGTTCCGACCGGATCATCCGGTCACAATTGACGCAGTTTTTTGTGATTTTTTGCCTATTTGCGAGAGTTCGGCACCAAATTTTTGGGTCTAAATCTAGATCTAGATAATTTCAATTTTCAAGAGCTAGTCTAGAAGATTTTTAGATGAGTGTAAAAACGTGAAAAAGAAAGGTTTCAAAACAGAATAAAATCAAAATTAGAACAGCCCATAAACAACCACAAAAACCAACAAATAAGGGCGTGAGTCCACCTGTCCGAAGAAGATTAGCTGTTTTAACCCTAAATGTGCGTAATTTAAACAAAAGTACAGGATATTACAAGTACATTATGGAATCACATACAAGGGGCCTGCCAGTGTCAGTACATGTAATCGGTTTTGGTGGAACGCTCTAACGTAACACTTTTAAATTTATATATGTTTACGTGTATATATATTTAGAATCTAATGAAGGTAGGAACATCAAATTAAATGACGTTACACTATACAACATTCCTCCGCCCGCCCGCCCCCCTTTTCCCCAACAAAAAAAAATTTAGAAAAACAACACATCAGAACAGTAACAAGAAAAAAAAGGTATTTTTTTACTTTCCCTCCCGTCTCACACTCAGCTACCAATTGTCTATTTTATACTAAATATTGATGCGCTGAACACGAATATCAACTTCATTTCCGTCGCAAATTAATAGTTTTTGAAATATTTAATTGTTTTTAACCGAGATAGACATGCTTTGGTCCAATTGGGGGGTTCCAGGGGGGCCTGCCCCACTGGGGTAAAAGAAAATCTGGGGGGTTACAGGGGGGCATGCCCCCCTGTTTTT